AATGTGGGAAGCTCATCAACGCCGTGGAGCTCAAGGTGGGGCAGCAGTGCCAGGGACCCCCCACTTCACCTTTGGGGACCCCCGAGCTCCACCCTTGTCGTCCCTCCCTTCCTCCTCACCTTTGTGATCCTCCCTAACTCACGTTCCCCTCCCACTTTTTTTTTGCCCCACCTTTGGGGATCTCCCCCCACCCGTTTTCCCTCAGAACCCCCAGTGCAAGATCTGCCGTGGCACCCCGGTGGTGACGCCCACCCAGCACCTCTTCCTGGATCTGCCCAAGGTGAGCCACACCCCTGGGGGAGCAGTGAGGTGGGGATGGGGACCCCCAGGTGTCTCACCTGTGTCCCTCACAGCTGGAGGGGCAGCTGGAGGCCTGGCTGGAGCGCACCTTGGCCGCAGGTGACTGGACGGCCAACGCCCGGCACATCACGCGCACCTGGCTGCGGGACGGGCTCAAACCCCGCTGCATCACCCGTGACCTCACCTGGGGCACCCCCGTGCCCCTCGATGGATTCCGTGACAAGGTGGGTCCCCCCGTGTTGGGATGGACAGGTGTGTGTGTGTAACAGGAAGATCTTTGAAAGACAGGTGTCTGTAAGAAAGGCAGGAGCCTCTCTTTGAACTGGAGAATGTAAACCCCCTCCCTCCAAATTATTATAATTTTGAGATTAAGGGGCTCTCAGGCAAAGATATGGGAATAGGAATAACAATTCTTTACTAGGAAAATTAAAATAGCAATCCAGTATTGCAGAGAACAAACCCAGAGCAGGGGCAGAGGGAGAATCCAAGGTGCCCCCGTCAGTCAGTCAGGGTTGGTGCAGTCCCATTCCATGGTGGCTGCATCCTCCTGCAGTGACAGATGTGGTTCTGCTGGAGCAGGGCTCCTGCACAAGGTGCAGTTTTCCCAGGGATGATGTGGAAGGCTCTGGTTTTCCTCTGGGATCCACTGGGAAAAGGCTGCTCTGATGTTCCAAATCTCAGCTTTGATCTGGGTAGGAAATTCTTGGCTCCTGCCCTGGCTGGAGCATCTCCCAATGGGATGATGGAATTTGATCAGCCCTGCCCTGGGACTGCATGGCCATGAACAGGAGAGATCTCCTGGAGGGAGGATGGGCTGTGGGGAAGATAAAGAACACTGCAACACCTGATTTTAACACCTGGCCCATCAACAGCAGATATTCCCCACAGAGATCAGGATCACTGCCCCAGCTGGTTTGACAGATGGTGACAGAATTCACACTTTTGGGCACATCCTGTATTGCAACCTAAGACAAATCTGAAGGAATAGAAATGAGAGCAAGTTTTGATACAGAATTAAAGAATTGTTGAGCCAGGCTTACTGGATAACTAAGAAGCCAAAGGGTAACGTGAGTTACAAGGGGTTTTTATGATCAGAGCAAAGGATAAATTCACCTCAAACAGAAGATATTTTTACCAAGCAAAAAAAATTAACAGGCAAACAAGAAAGCCAGTGTTGCCAGTAGAAAAATAGGTCTCAGAATTGTCCAGTGCAACAAAACTGAAAAACAACTTCTAGCTTAAACTGTAACATGCTAACTTTTTGTGATTGGAAAATAGTGACATAAATATGGTAATGTTAGTAGTCATGATAGGCTGTAGGTAACAGTAAAGGTATTGGTTGGTTGTCATGTTTTAAGATGCTCTGCAATGAAAAGTCTATAATGCACTGTAACCAGAACTAGAGTTGGCTTCAGACAAACCTAGAGCTGAGGCTGACAGGCTGTGAGCTGGGCTCTGCCACCCACAACCCCTGAACTGCTGCATTTGGATACAATAAACAGCATTTTAAATAAGAAATAAATTGCTGTATCAGCTGGATACAATAAACAGCATTTAAAGAGCCACCTGGAGTCCCCATCCCTCATTTTAGTTCTTACACCCCCAGCCCCAGGTGTGCTGCCTGGGGGAGCCCTGCTGGGCCCTCCCTGCTGGCTCACCTGCTCAGGTGTCACCCTCCCCCAGGTGTTCTATGTGTGGTTTGATGCTCCCATCGGGTACCTGTCCATCACAGCCAACTACACCGACCAGTGGGAGCGCTGGTGGAAGAACCCTCAGCAGGTAGGAGGAGCCAGGTGATGGTGCAGGTGAGGACAGAGCAAGACACCCCACTGACATCTCTACCTGCCCCTGTTACCTGCCAGGTGGAGCTCTACAACTTCATGGCCAAGGACAACGTCCCCTTCCACAGCGTCGTGTTCCCCTGCTCGCTGCTGGGGGCTGATGACAACTACACCCTGGTGAATCACCTGATCGCCACAGGTACGGCCCAGGTGTGGGGGGAGCCCCAGGTGTGGGGGGAGCCCCAGGTGTGGGGGGAGCCCCAGGTGTGGGGGCTCCATGCTCCCCCTGCTCTGTGCCTGGGGCATTACTTGCCTGGGCGGGGCCAGCTCCCCACGCTGGGTGCTCACCTGTCCGCAGAGTACCTGAACTACGAGGATGGGAAGTTCTCCAAGAGCCGGGGCGTGGGCGTGTTTGGGGACATGGCCAAGGACACCGGCATCCCCGCCGACGTGTGGCGCTTCTACCTGCTCTACGTGCGGCCCGAGGGCCAGGACAGCGCCTTCTCCTGGGCCGACCTCCTGCTCAAGAACAACTCGGAGCTGCTCAACAACCTGGGCAATTTCATCAACAGGTGTGGGGGCACTTTGGAGGGGAGCAGGGCTGTCCCCAGGGCTTTGCTCACCCCTGTCCCCAGCCTGTCCCCAGGTTGTGCTCATACCTGTCCCTGGGCTTTGCTCACACCTGTCCCCAAGACTTTGCTCAGCCCTGTCCCCAGGTTGTGCTCACCCCTGTCCTCGGCCTGTGCTCACACCTGTCCCTTCTGTCCTTGGGCTGTGCTCCCACCTGTCCCTTCTGTCCTTGGGCTGTGCTCACACCTGTCCCCCCTGTCCTTGGGCTGTACTCACACCTGTCCCTCCTGTCCCCAGGGCTGGCATGTTCGTGTCCAAGTTCTTTGGGGGCGCCGTGCCCGACATGGTGCTCACAGCTGAGGACCAGCGGCTCCTGGCCCGGGTCACCTTGGAGGTGCGCCAGTACCACCAGCTGATGGAGAAAGTCCGGTGGGTCCTGGGGGTCCCAAAACCGGGGGGAGCGGGGCAGAGCCTGCCCTGCAGGTGCTCAGCCTCACCTGTGCCCCCCTGCCCCCCCCAGCATCCGCGACGCGCTCAGGTGTGTGCTCAGCATCTCCCGCCATGGTAACCAGTACATCCAGGTGAACGAGCCCTGGAAACGCATCAAGGGCGACGAGAGGGACAGGTAGGGATGGATGGGGGGCACAGGGGGACAGGGAGGGGTCACAGGTGGGGATTGGGGGCACAGCCACGATCTCAGGGGGTAGAGGGTGATTGGGCAGCCTGGGGGGCACAGGGGGTGCCATGGAGGGGTCCCCACTCTGGGGTCTTGTCAGGGTGGGGGCTGGCACTGGTGGGGGGCACAGGGCAGGGATGGAGCAGAGCCAGGGGCTGGGGGGACACTGAGAGGTCCCTGTCCACAGCACTGATGGTGGCAGGGCACGGGGGTGTCACTGATGGCCCCTCCCACAGGCACTGACCGGGCAGGGGCTGAGGGTGGGCACAGGGGGACACTGAGGTTGTCCCCCAGGCAGCCCACAGGCACATGGCGTGGCAGAGGGACACAGGGGTCACTGATGGGGGGGGTCACAGAGGTGTCACTGAGCGTGTCCCCACTCCAGGCAGCGCGCAGGGACAGTGACGGGTGTGGCAGTGAACGTGGCAGCGGCTCTGGCCGCGCTGCTCCAGCCCTTCGTGCCCGGGGTCAGCGCTGCCATCCAGGAGCAGCTGCAGATCCCCCCGGAGCGCTGCGGGTTCGGGCCCGGCCTCACCTGCACGCTGCCCGCCGGGCACCGCATTGGCACGGTACGGCCGGGGCACCCCGGGGGGAGGGCGGGCCGTGCCCCCTGTCCTGTGCCCTCGGGGAGGGGAGGGCAGGCCCTGCCCCCCGTGCTGGGGGCACTGGGATGTGCCCCCCCCTAGACCCTGCCTGGGTGGGATCTGCAGGTGCTGACCCCACAGGTGTGACCCCTCTGTCCCTGCTGGCGCCAGGTGAGCCCCCTGTTCCAGAAGCTGGAGCCCGAGCAGGTGGAAGCCCTGCGCCAACGCTTTGGGGGAGGGCAGGTGAGTGGAGGCTCAGGTGCCCCCCCACAGCTCTCCCACCTTGGGCACCTGCAGCCTGACCCCCTCTGTCCCTCCCCTCCCCATTGCCAGCCCAGAGATGTTGCTGTAGAGCCCCAGGTAATTCCTGGTGCTGCCTCAGCTGAGCTGCACCTGTCCAGAATAGAAGCAAGGGGAGCTTATCCCCATCTCTTCCTCTTACAGGACAAACAGCCTCCCCCATCCTCAGCCTCAGCCCCACCTCCAGCCCCCAACACTTCTGCAGCTCCAGGTGACCCCAAACTGATCCAGGAGCTGACAGAACAGGTGGCCAAGCAGGTGAGGGGGAACAGGGTATGGGACACAGGCTCTGTCATGGCTTTAAACCCCGCTCCCCAAATCTTCATCACACCCTCAAATCCTTCCTCCCACCTGTCTAGGGCAACCTGGTGAGGCAGCTGAAGGCAGCCCAGGTGGAGAAGGCCCAGGTGGACGCCCAGGTGGCCAAACTGCTGGAGCTGAAGCAGCAGCTGGCGCTGGCCGAAGGCCGGAGCCCCGAGGTCCCCAAGGGCAAGCGGAAGAAGTAGCCCCAGTAACCAGACTGGGACACACTGAGGAGTGGCACCAGTGCTTCCAGTAACCAAACTGGGCCGTGCTGGCTGTGGTTAGATGTGTGTAATAAATGACAAAAGCTGTACAACGGCATGGAGAAGCTGCATCCACTTGTCTGTCTGCAGTGTCCATCTGTCCATGGGGCTGCCCCCCAAAGTCCGTGGGGCAGCAGAGTCCTTGTCCCCATCTGTGGGGCAGCGCTGTCACCTTTCCCCGGCGCTGTGCTCGGTGTGTCCCGGCCCCGCCCCGGGGCAGCCGCTACACCTGGCGCAGGTTGACGATGCGGTCGATGAGCGCGGCGCGGGTGCGCTGCACCTCGGCGCTGAGCCGCTGGATCTCGGCGCGGAGCCGCTCGTTGTGCGCCGTCAGCTCCCGCACCCGCCGCTCCCCGTCCCGCTCCCGCGGAGCCCCGGCGCCGCCGCGCCGCTTCCTCCGCGCCCCCCGCGCCTCCTCCTCTTCTTCCTCCTCCTCCTCGGCGGGGCCCGGCCGGGCCGGGTCGCTGCCGCCGGGGGCCACGCCCGGGGGTTCCTCTGGAGCCGCTCCCTCCGGCCCGAGCAGCTCCAGCAACTCCTCGGCCAGGGCCAGGTCCAGCCCGCAGCCCCCCGGGCCCGGATCCACCTGCGGAGAGAGTGGGAACCAGAACGGTGATGGAGGGGGGACCCCCGTCCCAGGGGCGCTGCCGGCCCCGCGCTCACCTGCTCAGCCCCCCAGGTGGGGGCGGCTCCGGGGGGCTCCGCTGCCAGCACCTCCTGCAGGTCCTGGTACCACCCGTCCAGCTCCCAGCCGGGGGGGCCGCCCGGCCCCCACAGCCCTTCGGCCGCCATTGGCACCTCGGGCCCGGCGCGGGCTACGGGAGGGAGGGAACGGGAAGGGAGTGAGGGGGCGACTCGGGCCGGCACCTCCGGTGCCCGGGCCGGCCCCGGGATCCCAAGGGTGTGTGTGTATTTCGGGGAATGTCCCCTTACCTGCTCTCAGGTGTGGTGATCGCTAAGGATACACTTTCTCCTGGATGCCTGGGGAAGGAGGAGGGGGTGGTGTTAGGATCGGTGACCCCCGAGTGGGGGGGTCGCCGGGGACCGAGGTCACCGTCCCGCCCCTGGGGTCACTGTCCCGCGAAGGCGGGTGCGTGCCCGCCGGTTTCCCTCCCGGGACCGAGCGGAATCCCTCCGCCATCGCCCCCCGGGGGCAGTCCCGGGGCTGCTCCTCGCACCTTTCTGGGTGGTCTCGGCTCCCCCCAGCCCAGCTCCGATCGCTGCCCCCGGTTCATCCTCGTCCGCATCGTCCCGCGCTGCGCCCTGCCCCCCCCGCCGCGCCGCTTTAAGAGCAGCCTGACGCAACGCTCGAGCCGGCGACAGCCAATGAGAGCGCGAGAACCGTGACTGACAGAGAGCGCCAACCAATGGAAGCGCTCCGGGGGCGGGACGAGCGGCACCGCCCGGCGCGGGTGGGGTCACGAGGGTGAGGTCACGCGGGGATGATGCAATGGCGGGAAATTGGCCACGCCCCCAGCGGGCACAGGGAGAGGGGCGGGGATTGTCCGGAAATGGGCGGGGATTGTGAGGTGGGCGGGGACTATGGGGGATGGGCGGGGCTTCAGTGCCACCGGGTCTCGTTCTCTCCCCCGCGATTAACGGGAGGGGGGCTCAGCCCCCACCCCCTCACCCCCTCACCTGCCATTGCCCGTGGGAGGCACCGGGGTGAGGGATGGAACTGGGGGCACTGGGACAATTGGGGGCACTGGAGCTGGGAGGGGTGGTGGGACTGGGGGAGCTGGTGGCACTTGGGGGAGAACTGGTGACACGGGGGTGCTGTGGCTTTACGGGTGAGGGGCTGCAGAACTGGTGTGAGGGGCCTGGGGGAGCACAGCTGGGGACACACCCGGGACCCCTCCCCCATCTTCGGGGTCCAGCTGCCCCCAGCCCCTCATCCTTGTGGGGGTCCTGGCTCCAAGAGGTTCCTCTCGTGTCCAACCCAATCCCAGCACCCCCAGTTCAGGGGGGCCCCGCTCCTGCCCCCCCACCAGAGATACTGACACACATATTGGGAGCTGAGCTGTTTATTGGGGTACAGGGGGGACCAGAGACCCACACATGGAGTAGGGGGGACAGGGATGCCCCCCGTGGGGACTGAGGGGTGCAGAGACCCCTGTGGGGATGGGGACCGAGCCAGGGTATTTACAAGCAGCAGCTGGGACCTGTGGGGAGGGGTCACAGGGCCCAGGGGGTCGCGGGGGTTGCCCAAGGAAGTCCTCAGAGGAACCCCAGGGGGTGTCCTGGGGTCTTGTCACTTCTGCAGCCGCTTGATGCGGGCATCGATGTCGGCAAAGTTGTCCTCGACGATGGCCAGGTTGTCCTTCATGGTCTTCTGCACCTGGGGGGGCAGGTGGGGGTGAGGTGATGTGGGGACAGGTGGGGACCTCGGTGGGGCTGAGTAGGGGGCCGGGGGTACCCACCTCAGCCAACAGCACCGTGTTGTCCTTGAGAGCTCCTGCGATCTCCTGCTGCGTCGTGTCCAGGTGCACCAGCACCTGCCCGAACTGAGTGGCTGGGGGGGGACACACCTGAGTGCTAGGGAGGGCAGTGCCCCCCACCCGGGGTCCCTGAGCCCCCCCTGCCCTCACCTTGCTCGTGCAGGTCCCGCAGGGTCACCAGGCGCTGCACCACATCGGGCAGGGCACTGGCCACGGCGTCCCAGCTCTGCAGCGTCTCGTACAGCTGGTGGATCTGGGGGGCAGCAGTTGGGGGGGTCAGCACAACCTGGGGGGGCCCTTCGGGATCCCCCCGTGGCCTCCAGGCCCGTACCTTGCTCTGGGTGTCAGCATCCTGCACTGTGGCCTTGTGCTTGGCGATCTCGTTCACCTTCCCCAGGACGCTCTGGTGTGGGGGAGAAAGAGACCCCAAATCCAGTCATGTCCCCCCAATTTCAGCAGTGTCCCCCCACTTTCAGCAGTGTCCCCCAGTTTTAGCAGTGTCCCCCCAATATCAGCAGTGTCCCCCAATTTCAGCAGTGTCCCCCAGTTTTAGCAGTGTCCCCCCAATTTCAGCAGTGTCCCCCCACTTTCAGCAGTGTCCCCCAGTTTTAGCAGTGTCCCCCCAATATCAGCAGTGTCCCCCAGTTTTAGCAGTGCCCCCCAGCTCCCCTCACCTGCAGCCGAGCCTCCACCTGGTCTAGCACAGCCACGTCCAGAACGTTCACCTTGGCCTGCAGCACCTGCACCGTGTCCTGGGGAGGGGGGGAGCAGGTGAGGGGGGGGTATGGCAGCCCCCCCAAAGCGCTGGGGGCACGGGGGGGACAGGGTGAACCCCAAAGTCCCTTTGCCCGACTCACCATGAGGCTGGAGCCCTTCAGCCCCACCAGCAGTGGGTTCTGTGGGGGGAAACAGTGTCAGTGGGGCAAGAGGGGGCAGACAGAGGATGGGGGTAGGAAAGGGGCAGGAGGGAGGCAGGGCAGCCCCCGCACCTGGGCACTCACCTGGCTGTCAGGCTCACACCTCACAGCTGCCTCCAGCTGTGCCAGACGCTTCTCCAGCTCCGACACCTGCGGGGTTTGGGGTCAGGTGCTGGGACCCAGGTGCGGTGCCCCCTCACAGGATTCCCCTGTGGCGCCAGCAGCCCCCGCTCACCTTGGCAGACTGGGCAAACTGGTCCTGCTCCGGCCTCCAGTAGAGCTCGAAGGTGACAGCATCGCCGGCAGGGGCGGGGCCCCGCGCCGGGCCCTTCCCCGGGGCGGCTTTGCTGCACTTGGCCACCTCCAGCTGCTGCAGCAGCCGCCTGAGGACAGCCGGGAGGGGACACGGTGGGCACAGGGGACACGGTGGGCACAGGGGACAAGGAGGGCACAGGGGACAAGGTGGGCACAGGGGACACGGTGGGCACACGGGACAAGGAGGGCAGGGTCCCTGTCCCAGCCCCACGGGGATGCTGCCATGCCCGCCTGGGCTCCCGTCCCCCACTCACTTGGCCAGGGCACCCTCGGGGTCAGCAAAGTCCACAGCGGCACCAGGGCCCAGCACCTTCTCCAGGTGGGAGCTGAGCAGCTGCTGCTTCAGCACCTCCACCTGCCTGGCCAGCGCCATGGGCGTGAGCTCCTCCTCAGCCCCCGACTCCTTCACCGAGCTCTGAGGGGACACACAGGGGCCGTGTCACACCTGGGACACACCCTGGCACAGGTAGGAGCTCACTTGGGGCAGCTGGGTGCTCACCTGGATCTGCTCCACGTCCCGGAGCAGCTCCTGCACCTCGTGCTGTAACCGCTGGAATCGCTGCTGTGGCGTCTCCTTGGCACCAAGACCCTCACCCAGCTGTGGGAGAAATGGGTCAGGGGGCTCCCGGGGGGCCAGAGGGTTTACACACGGTCAGGGGAGCTCACGGGAGGGGTCATGGTGGGGGATCATGGTGGTTCAGGGGTCTCATACGGGGGGTCAGGGATCTCAGAGTTCAGGGGTCTCACGGGGACTCAGGGGGTTCACAGGTGCTGCCAAGCAGAATGAGCAGGTGAGGCCTGCAGGGACAGGTCACAGCAGCCTCAGGTGGCACCTAAAGGGAACCTGATGGGGCCAGGGGGGCAGGGCAGGAGCAGCTCAGGAGAGTGCTAAACCCACAAAGCAGAGGGGCTGCACTGGAGCTTATCTTCATCCTCACAGAGCTCCTCATCTTCATACTCAGAGCTCCCCATCTTCATCCTCATGAAGCTCCTCTTCACCCCATGGAGCTCTTCATCCTCACCCACATGAAGTTCCTCATCCTCACCCTCATGGATCTCCCCACCTTCATGCCCATAGAGCTCCTCCTCCTGACCCCAATCTCTAAAGCTGTGGGGTGGTGCTGGGTGGTCCCATTCCCCTCATGGAATGTGGGGGTTTCCTGTTCTTTGCCCAAATCCAGCTGTTCCTAGAGCAAACCTGACCTGGGCCAGCGTGGTGGCTGATGGCCTGGCCTGAGGGGCCACAGTGACCAGGCTAGGGGACACAGATGTCACCCTACTCTGAGCAGGCCAAGAGGGAGCCAGGTGAGCCTCTGTCACCTTCTCCCCTTTGACCCTGGGTGACAGGGACTGCAGCCCCCCCTGAGGGTCCTGAGGGACAGCCTGGGGAATTGGGGCGACAGAACCTCACGGAGTCAGTGAGGGGACAGGCAGGGACCTGCTTGGGGGGGGAACAGAGCCCAGCACCAGGACATGGGGAGGGGGTACCCAGCAAAGGCCTGGGGGTGCTGGGGGACACCCAGTTGAACATGAGCCAGCCAGGATTATCCTGGGACCCCCAGCTCCATCCCCAGATCCATCCTGGGACCCCCAGCTCCATCCAGGACTTGGTGACCAGCGCTGTCTCGAGGGTCTGTGGTTGGGACAGGGGCTCCCAGCACGGCAGACTGGGATGGACTGGGCAGACCAGCACGGTGCCATAGCGCTGGTGGAGCTGGCACACGGCTGCTCTGAGGCATGGCTGGGGGCTGCAGCAGGTGACTCCGGGGGTCCCAGGGGCCTGTGGCACACGGGGGTGTCCCAGGCAGTGCGTGGGGAGGAGGGGGTGCCCCTTGCACTCACCATCTCATACTCTCCAGCCTCGTAACCCGTTGTCCGTGTCCGGCCGATGCGGTCAGAGAAATCTGGAGGAGGCAGAGCTGGGTGTGACCCAGCAAAGCAAGGGGGGCTCAGCCCCCTGGGGATCCCATGGCCCATCCCCAGCTTGCCCAGCCCCTCCTGGCCCCCCTGAGCCCCCCAGCTCACCCACACCCTCGGTGCCCAGGCGCTTGTCCCGGAACTTCTCGTAGGCAGCGTTGGGGTTGATGATCAGGTGCTCCACGCTGGTGCTGCTCAGCTCCTCCTGCACACGGAGCCACGTCAGGGACAGGGACAGGCCGCAGACTGCCACCACCTCCCGCCAGCACAGACAGGGACGGGGACAAGGGGGCCCCAGGGATGCCACCACCCCCAGCACACAGTGTGGGCAGGGATGGGGGCGCTGGCCTGGCCCTCCCCAGGACACAGGCACAGCCCCCAATACAGCACCCAGCGAGGGCTCTGCTGGCAGGGATGTGGCACGTCCCCAAGGGTCCAGAGAGGGGACATCACACCCCCAGACTGGCCTGGCCCAGTGGGGAGATACCCTTAAGAGTCTGGAGTGGGGACATCAGACCCCAGCTTGGCCCAATGTGGTGACATTGGACCCTGGT